GCAGACTCTCAGGCTCCAAACTAGACCTAATGAATCAGAATCTACATCTTAAATACCAGGTAGTATGTTTAGCTTTGCCATAAAGGATTCAGAAATCAGTGGATGATTATAGTAGATGACTTTTAAAGCCCTTCAGAACTCTGAGACCATTCCATATTATTGAGTCCACAGGTTTTAAGTGGATAAAATAATGGCATGGGGAGGATCTATGGTCTCAATAGCTAGTATATCCCATTCCGCTGGGGAGATTAAGAATGGCCCTGTCCACCCAATTCCGAAGAACATTAAACATTACATTCCATTTCTTAAAGTACAATCTCAGATAAATACAAATATGGACAATAAATGAAAATACCCAGCATTTAGACTGTTTTTTGTTTTGTTTTTGTTTTTTTTATCTAAAGCATCATATCTCCTTGGACATAGCCCCTTGATCGTTCCTTGGGTTTGTTTCCATTTTGTTTTGAGCCACTTCTCTGCTTTCTGCAGAACGCATGTCTGATTATTCTCCATGCAGGTGCTCTGGGTAGAGTTCAGTATTCCATTAATACCGAACAGTTCACATACAAATAGAGAGTTTAACCTTAGATATTTCCCCAAGGCCTGAAGAGGTTGAAACAAATATAAACAGAACTAGAAGAGCTGGTGAAACAGTTAGCTGAAACTTTAAAGAGATTTTCCTCTCCCTGGGACTTCCTGGTGATAGCTGTAATGTAACACAACTGCTTTAGCTCTTTGTAAGCTTTTACCGTCCCTCCCTGATGCAGGCTTCCTGACGTCCCTGGCTGTTCAAGTTATACACCACGTGGACACACAGGATGGACTGTGCTGGCCCATCGGGTTGCATCAATTGCTTCATAGATCCCTTTTCTGATTCCATTATCCTGTGACTGCCTGAGTAGCCCATTATTTTTTTCTATTAGAATCTCACACACAGAAATAAAAAGAATATATCGCTTCAAAAGAATTAAGATAAGAATTCAAGGGAAAAAAATAATTTTTAAGAGGAAAGAAAGACAACATGAAGTGTGACAAAAGTATATAACGTGTCTAACCTAAGGAAATTTTATGTTAGTAATGATGACTTATTACACCAATATTTATCAGGCAACTACTGTGTGCCAGGCACTGTGTTTGTTGCATGATGATGATGATAGATTTAATAGTAGCTAGTATTTGTTGATGACTTAATGAGTACTCAAATGAGATAGGCATGGGCCCTGCCCTCATGGGAACTTACAAGCTAATAGGAAAAGCAGACATTGCACAAATAATTCCAAGTTTTATCAATACTATGGCAGGGCATAATGGGAGAGCGTGTCAGGTGGCCTAATCTAGTCTAGGGGTCAGTGAAAGCTCTGGTAAAGCAATATTTAAGAGTGAGCTACACAAAGGAAAGGTGGGGTTGAGGAGAAAAAGAGCATTCCAGGCAGAGTGAAGACTATGGGCAAGAGCTCTGGTCAAGCAAAAAGTGTATGTTGGAAGAACTGAGAGAACTGCTAAAGCTTAGAGGACCAGGAGGAGAGTGGGGAGATGAGGCTGGACAGAAGAAAACAGAGCAAGGTCATGCTGAATCATGGAGTTCCCTTGAGAAGGCCACATTTATCCCAAGGCCAATGGGGAGCCACTGATAGGTGTTAAGCAAATGAGTGAATGATTAGCTTTGGGCTCCAAGATTACTCTGACTGGAATGGAGGGGAAGAGAGGAAGTATGCAGAGGGCAGAAATGATGGTGACTTGGACCAAAGAGGTCGGCAGTGTTTCTCCAACGTAGAGTGGGGTCCCTGTCAGGCTAATAAAATACTTCTTCCCATTGGAGTTTGGTTATTTGTGTTAGTGTTGAAGGAAATTTCCCTTCTCAAAACCTCAAAACTGTTCCCTTCACAGGCATCAGAGCCATGGCCATGAGCAAAAGGCAAACTGAAAGGCGTGGAAAAGAAGAAACACAAAGGGCTAGTTCTCCACTGGAATATGAGCCTGGATCTGCTGGTTCATGACTCCATCCCATGACATAGGAAGGAATGAAGTACTAATGCATTCAGCAGAGAAAAGAGCGTCAGGGTTTGCCTAGAAATAGTTCAAAGGCCATAAAACTACTGTCCCAGAATAATGTGAGAAAATGGGCTTCTTTTTTTTAAGATTTATTTATTTATTTGAGAGAGAGAGAGAGAGAGAGCACAAGCGAGGGGAGGGGCAGGGGGGAGAGAGAGAGGATCCTCAAGCAGGCTCCCCCGCTGAGCCTGATGCAGGGCTCAATCCCAAGACCTTGAGGTCATGACCTGAGCTGAAATCAAGAGCCGGCCACTCAACGGACTGAGCCCCCCAGGTGCCCTGAGGAAACGGACTTCTAAAAGGGGTTCTTTTCATATATAAGACAAAAGTATTTTAATTACTGGTCTAAGATCCCTATACCCTAAAAGGAGGGTTCATTTCAAAAGCCAGAGCTGTAAGCTAAATTGTTAGCTCCTTTTGTGCTAAGTGGGATGACAAAGCCCTCACTTCCCTGTGTGTTCAAAGAATAGTTATCGATCATTTGTAAAGCATTTTAATTGAACAACTACATGATAAAAGGCCTTGGGATACAGTGGTTCATAACATGTTCATCACACACAGCTTCCAGTCCAGTGAAGAAGCTGAAAGTCTAGACATTAAGCTGTTACACAATTAAATTTAAGAAGTGCAGGGACACCTGTGTGGCTCAGTCAGTTAAGTGCATCTGACTCGTGATTTTGCCTCAGGTCATGATCTCTCAGGGTCATGAGATCAAGCCCCGCATCAGGCTCTGTGCTGGGCATGGAGCCTGCTTGAGGTTCTCTCTCTCCCTCTCCCTCTGCCCCTCCTGCCCAACTCATGCAAGTGCTCTCTCTCTCTGTAAAAAAAAAATTTAACAAGTGCAACTGTGATAGGTTCTAGCAAAGAAAATTATGTGTACTGTGAAGGCTTATGGAAAGAGGGTGCCGCACAGACAGCAAGTTAGGGAAGTGCTGAAAGCTGAGAGAAGTCAGGTGGGTGGAGAGAGAATAAGACAAGTGTAAAGTGAGTTAATTTGGCAAACACATATAGCACACCTGTCAGGTGCCAAGTGTCATATAGGTCTCTGATATGCAAATAAGTAATTCAGTCTGCATGTTGGGAAAAAGAACATGGGCTGAGTCTTGCTAATTACTAACTGAGAATTTGTCACTTTAACTACCCAAACCTCAGCATCTTAATCTGTAAAACATGAAAATATCTATCTTGCAGGATTATTGTGGGAATTAAAAATATTTAAGGCCCTTAGCTCACTGCCAGACACATAAGTAGCAAGTTTTGTAATGACCATACCAAGAGTCAGTATAACATAGTATCAGAAGTGATGTTCACAGTGTTCAAAAACTCACTATTTTCCATCAGACTGCCTGGGTTCAAATCCCAGGTCCACCATTTACTAGCTCTATAACTTTGGGCAAATGACAAACTTTCTGATCTTTAGTTTCTTCATCTATAAAAGGAAGATAATAGAAGTACCTCCTAAGTTTCTTGGGAGGATCAAAGAGGTAATGCATGAGAAGTGTGAAATATGGTTACATAAATAGCTAGACTACATATTATGTACATGCAAGATACTGTACCAGCACAATAAATAAGGAGTAAATTGTTTTTGTTTTTATTCAAGATAGGAGAGTGAAGCGAGATAAGACCAGAGATTTCAAAGACCAAGTCTTGATCTTGGCCTTAAAAAATGAGTAGGTGTTGGGGCGCCTGGGTGGCTCAGTCGTTAAACGTCTGCCTTCGGCTCAGGTTATGATCCCAGGGTCCTGGGATCGAGCCCTGCATCGGGCTCCCTGCTCGGCGGGAAGCCTGCTTCTCCCTCTCCCACTCCCCCTGCTTGTGTTCCCTCTCTCTCTGTGTCTCTCTCTGTCAAATAAATAAAAAAAAAAGAAGACAATTACAAACATAGTTACATAAAATGCTGCCTACAATTTCAGGAGCTTTATAAACTCCACAAAGCCCATCCATGGATTCCTGTCCCAGGACTTCAAGTCAGAAGCAATGACATCAAATCTGTTAACATAAAGTAGAACAAAGAAGTGCAGGAAATCTAATGTGACAATTGTGGAGAAGTTGCCTCTCTAAAATACTCCTGACTACAGGATATTCAACTCTCTTTATAACACAGCCCAATCCCAATTCATTCTTATATTGGAAATAATGTTAAGTCTAGATGCTACATTAACACTTCTGTACACCTTTCATAAATAATAATGTTGCATGTGCTATATCTTTATTATCCTTTAGTGACAGAAAAGCTCTGCAGAGCACATGTGCTACTTCTCACTGCAAGGTCCTATACCCTGGAGAACTATAGTAGTGGGTCTACCCCGGCTGCCCTTCTCCTCTGTGACTCCTAAGTGCCTTATATCCCATTCCATTTGGGCAAATATGTAGCATGACTCAGCACTGGAAAATACAGTTACAGTTATCTAAAGGAAAGAGATAATTTCATAATTACACGAAAAATAAATTCAACAAACTTAAAATACAGCATAAAATGGATAAACATAAAAGGGATGTATTCACTACTTTGGGTCAGGTGTGTTTCAGTCTCAAGATACAGGGTTTTAACTTGGTCTTTGTGTAGTTCTAACCAAGGAGAAGCACAGCCTTTAATTTATTGTCTTTATACTTTCTCCAATATGCAATTTATAATAATGAGGCTGGTTCTGCATGCCAATTTATAGTGTCTAAAGAATTCTGATAAGTTTCAGCATAAAGCAGAAAACTGTTTTATGTTTGTTGTTTCCATACATTTGCTTCTGAAGATGGAACAATTACTTATGTGAAAACCGGGGTATGAAAGACTATGTCCATGTCTGTACATTTCTGTGTAGGTGTTTATATCGCTGTGTGTTTGAAAAGTTCTAAATCACTAATCAAGTCCAAAGAGTGATGGAAGAGATAATTTTTGAAAACAATCCTAAGAATAATTTGTATTAAAGACATTTCTTTCTCCCTCATAGCTACATCATCCCTCTCAAGGCTTCCGCTTTGGAACTGTCCGGGAAAGCAGTGCTGAAGATTATGTGAGGCAAAGCTTCCCAGAGATGCATGAGTATATGAGAAGGTACAATGTACCAGCCACCCCTGATGGAGTGGAGTATCTGAAGTGAGTGTCAACCTCTTGGGTCCAGAAAGTTCTCACTGAGAGAGAAGTCTTAGCTACTGTATTTGTTGGTTTTTTAAAATGACAGCTAAGTATACCCACTGTGTGTTCAGTAATACCTCACACTGTGTAAGAGCGAGAAGGCAGTATGGAATAGTGTGCATTTAATTATGTGACCTAGATTACTAGTTACCTGCATCGTCCCCAGTTGGCAGTAGCTTTGCTCAAAGTGCCCGTGGGGCATTAGTGTAGCAGATGGTGGGGGAAGTAAATGTTGGCTTGACATCACTTGAGAAAACAATGGTGCTGAAATGATCAAACACTCAGGGAATGTGGCCAAAGGATAAAGTGTCCCAAAGCAGCCCTTTCCTTCACAGTGAATTTCTAAGCCCATGGACTGTCTCCTCTTGCCACAAGGAAATGGAATTTATCTTAGAGATTTCCTGTAGACGGGAAATAAGATAAAAGGCAATGATTCCCATGCCTGCATCCTTCTCATCAGAATTTATGAGAAGCAATCAAGAGCAATCACATTGCCATGGCAGATTATCAGAGCCTGTAATTCAGCAAAGCTGAATGCAAAGGAGGGTGGTGTAGTTATGGATCTGCTCATCTAGTCCGCCTGGGAGAAGGATAAGCACCACACCACAGTGTGAGGGTGAGCAGTCCTCTCCCTTGTGCCTGATAGTCCCAGGACAAGGACACATGTCCAAGCCCCCAATCCCTAAACTCATGCAGCCCCAGGACTCTGGTTTTACCTATGGCCAACCACAGTAATCTTCCCAATGGACAGAAGGACTTGCCACCTCAAATTCTCTTTTAGGGGAGAAGGGAAACAAATAAATAATTGTATGAGACGTAAGAGCTAATATGTTTCTGAAGAGCTCTGGTGACAGGACCCTAATACTCCTTATGGACTTCTATAGAGTCTAGAGAGGAAGGCTTGTGCTCTCAGATTTGCAAAGTTATGTAGGATGAAATGCTACTTTTGCACTATGAAATGGCACTTTTGGTTTTGCAAGAACATTAAAATGTTAGAGTCCTTCTCTAACAGAGTTGAGTGCTCCTTTGCCTTCCAGCTCCTCTTCTGTATTCTCTTCTTCAGTCAAATTCACGGCTGAGAGAGAGAAGAAGATGTCAGGGGGATGGCAATGGCTCCCTGCTAGACAGTAATCGCTGACAAAGCGGGCCTTTCTGGCAGTGTGAAAAGAGCGAGATGCACCACTACCGTGGTAGTCCCCAGGTCCCTCCACTCAGGGTATTCATTTATTCTGGAGGCTTCACCTGAGAAGGGTCCAATACTCCGGGTTGTCCCCACTCTAGCCTGGAGAGATGGAGTCATTAGAAAAGCAGGCACCAGTGAAGAAGCTGAGACCTGAAGGAAGCAACTTGTCCACAGTAATATAGCCAGCAAGTGGCAGAGTCAGGACTAGAACCAGGTCTCTAGAATCCATTTGCTGTTGCAGGACAGTCTAGGAACCACAACAGAAAAGTAGGTCTTTGATGTTCAAAGAATAGTCTATGTTCCAGCAGCATCCACGTTCCCATTAGCACTTCGGAGTTTGTGAGAAATGCAGACTGCCAGGCCCCATCCCGGAGACTGCATATTAACAAGCTCTCCAGGTGATTCGCTGGTGGAGGTGACATTGGAATATAGGCAGAACTTACCATTCGTGCCCTCTTGACTTCTTGTCTTTGGGCTTCTCTCTCCATGTTTGGTCCCAGTCACTGCCTATGCTCTTAGCCACCACTCCAAGAAACCACAGTCCTCATATTATCCCCCTGATATCCCAGAGCCCTAACCTGCCGAACACACCTCCAGAGTCACTTATGAGCATATGTATTAGGGTGGCATATGTATTATTTTGTGGTATATGTATGATTAAATGAATTCTCAAAAAGGCAGAGCATGATTCCATAGTGGGAGAAACACCTGGGGAACCTGCCAACTGGAAGGATGATTCAACTAGTCTAAAAGCTGCTTATACCTGGGTCACACCCATCCACTTCCTCACCAGTGATTCAGGGCCCCATGGGAGTCTGTGAGCTAATTGCTTCTTGCCTTCCTATGCAAGAGAGACCTGTCATAACTAACTTCACTTTGCAGTCCAAAATCAGGAGTAATTATTTAAGGATACCACTGAAAGTGGACCTCAGTAATTATTGCTTAGAAAAACTGAACCCCAATTTTTTCTATTGCCATTGCTACTTCAAATATTTGCGGAGTGCTGGTAAGTGGTGACTAGTTGCTGTGTAGCTCCCAAGGTACATTTTGTTACTGTGGCAGTAAAACTTTTATTGGAGAAACATCTTTCAGCTTGATTTTTATTTTATTGCCAAGATTCCATTAAGCTTCCTCATCATCAGCTCCTAGGAGACAGTTCACATCCTCAACCCTTTCTGAAGCTTCCCACAGCTGTGGAGCTGGGAGATGTTTTTTATTTTGGTTAAAGTTAAACACAGATCTCATTATGACTTCCATCCAATACCCCTGGAAAAGGGAATGCATTTTGAATAGGCTGGAAGAGTAGAAAGAGGAAGCAATGGTCACTGGCATCAAGAAAAGGGAAGTTGGCCTATTTACTCTGTGTCAATGTATGGCCCAGACAAAGCCATCCATGTAAATATGTACTTCCTTCGGACTGATGATGACGTGTCTAAGTGTGTCTTTCTTTTTTAGATTTTTGATGGGCCCTAGCCTTGTTCTATTCTGAGTTTAAGGCCACTCCACTCTATGAATTCCAATAGACTCATTTTTGGCTCTGAGACAGGAATGACTGAGTCTAGATGGAATAGAGAAGAGTTGTTCTCTTTGCCAAGATGTTTGGATAGTCCTGAGGTCAGAAAGCCTTTCTTAAATGGCTGTATATCCTACACCTTTCCAAAAAGGATTTGAGGTGGCTGAAAACAAGACTCATTGCATACAGCTTAAACGGTTCCTTTTAAAATGCCCCCTTCCTTGCCTCCTTTGTAATTGGGAACTCTGCCGGTGCTGAGACATACCTTCCTCTGGACCGTTTCTGTGCCTATATTTAAAAAATGGGGAGAACACATGAAGGATGCACAAGGCATCTGTTGGTATCTTGAGCCCAGTCCACATCTGATTCACTGATAACAAGCCAGGGACACCTACCTTAAATGATTCCTGCCTGAATTGCCTCCTAGGATGGGAGTGAAACATGAACCTCTGGAGATATATTAATAGAGCAGATCACTAAGATCTATTACCTATGCTTCCCCCTCCAGGTAATGAATGCTAGCCCATGGACTTTAAAGAGACCTCTCAACTCCCTTTTCCCCAGGACTGCTAGATCTCATATTTGTATTTCCTTATTATGTATTCCTAAATATGAAATGATACCTGATTGCTGAAGAATATGATAGTGATCATGACAGAAAGAAATAAAAATTTCCACATATTGATTAATGAGATCACATGACTCCCACACTTACTAGCTATGTAACCTGGATCCAGTTACTTTGACTCTTGAAGGCTCAATTTCCTCATCTGCTAAAATGGGATAATACCAATACCACCCACCTCACAGCCATTATGAGTGATACAGTGTGTGGAGAACAATCAATACTGTGCCTCGCACAAACGAGTCACTCAGTTAATGTAAGAGAAATGAACCTTCCCATTCAATTCAGTCACTCTGGGTTTATTGTTGGATTTAGAAGTAATAAAAGGAATTGGTAGATAAACTCATTGGAAAGATGTCATGCTGTCTTAGAAGAGTGTCTGTTTCCCCTGGTCTATTTTCCATGCGTCAGTGAGATGTCAACAAGGCTGAGTCAGCAGCTACCTAGCTTGGGCTGCCCTTTCTTTCCAGGTTTCTGTCCCCTAAACAAAAGCCAGCTGTCAACCTCCTGTCTATTAATGAATCATTTTTCTCTTTTCTTCTCTTGGTCTTAAATATAGGAATGATCCAGAGAAACTAGACGCCTTCATCATGGACAAAGCCCTTTTGGATTATGAAGTGTCAATAGATGCTGACTGCAAACTTCTAACCGTGGGGAAGCCATTTGCTATAGAAGGTATGAGCCAGTCACTCTTGATTCACTTTAACTCAGGATATGCTCAGTTTGCCAACCAAGCAAGTCATAAATGCCAGAGTCAGAGCAAAAAGCTATTCATCTTCCCTTGTTTTCATCTTCAACTCATAAGCACTTAGCTATTAAGTTGCTGAAGCTAGGAATTTATTTTTCACCTACTCCATAAAAATTTATTTATCCAATTGTTTGAAAAACAACAACAAACATTGTTGTTACCCAGATGATGTTGCCTCAGATATCTGAGAATAGTGCATAGTATAACAAATGGGGAGTCCAATTTTGATTTAATCTGTATTTTCTAATTCCTGTGATGAATCTGATGCAAAAACTAGAATGATCGCATTCTACAACTGGAAGGACCTCAATGTTGATCTAAGCCAATCTACTCCATTTATCCACAAGAAAGCCCAGGGACATTACATCATTTTTTCATAATCACAATTAAATGATAATACTGGAATTAGAATCCAAATCTCATGGTTCCTAAATAAATGTTTTTTCCACTAGGTGGGAAAACAATAGAAAAAGAAATCTTCTGTATCTTAGTAACCTTTAAGAGTCCTAAACAAAACCTTGTTTGGGATTTCGAGTTTGCCTTTCTCCCCCCTGACAGCAAATTTTTGCTCCCAACTTGATCAACCAATCAATCAAACTTCAGGGCCAAAGAAGGATTGCTTTGTCAGTTGCTCCTTTCATTCTGGACAACAGTTGATATATGGAGCTGATAGTTTGAACCAGCAAATTTCACATCTCCCAATTCCCAGCTTCCCTTCTCTGACAGTACATGCTGGCTCTCAAGATAGCCGTGCTCACTTGTCAGAAAACACTTTGACTTGAAACAATCCCATGAGGGTGCCCAAGTCCTATTTCCAGAAAACTCTGCTTTTCCGTATGTTAACTAGTGTATCAAAACTATTCTGATTTCAGTTTCCCAGCCACAGTTGGTCTCTGTCTCCCCTAAACATATCAGCAAATTTTTTACTTCAGTCTTTGTTTTTATGATGAATGAGAATGTAAGAGCTGATGTTGTTTCTTTGAGCCTCTCCTAAGAGAAATCAATCTTCTCTCCAGGCAAAGTGACCTCCACCTGAACCAGGGATAGAACTCAGGAAGAGAGATTTAGTGGTAGTTGTCTTCTATTAAAACTACAATCTGAGATAGAAAAGTCTAAAAAAAAAAAAGAAGAAGAAGAAGACAAAGAAGGCAAGAAAACCAAAAGGACATTTATCATATAACCCCATTTTGATGTAACAATGGAAAAATTCCCTTTTTTTTTGTGGCATCTGGGGATCTGGAAAGGATGTTACATTTTTTTTCTGTCCTAGATGTACTGGGTAATTGAGGTCCCTTCTGCCTTTAGCAGCTACTAACAATGAATCATTTGTAGCAGGCATAAGAATGAGGGACCCCATTCTCCACCTTTGTCTTCAGGGGGCAACCCTATCTTGTCAAAAGACAGTGGTGAGATGGCTTGTTTGCCTCTCCTAGACCCCAGTGCCAGATGCCAAACAATTAACTCCCCACTAGTTTCCTGTTTACATTTCCATCTGTGCTCCTGAGACTGAGTGTCTTACAGTTCCCATCATCCCCACACACCACATTGTTTTCAAAGGGGATAAGCACAAAATGGTGCATGAAAGAGCTCTTCGGCAAGAGAACAGAAAGACCACCGATTTGAATAGAAAGCATTCCCCTCATTGTTGGTTTATTCAAAAAAAAAAAAAAATCACTGCTGGTTTATTCTGGGTGAGGTGCAAATCAGAAAATTTAATTCAGTACCGCCCCTGCCACCAAGTTCACAGCCTGAAAACAGAACTTGGTGAAACACAAAGGGAGGATACTTACAAGTTACAAACAGCAATGTGATAGAGATACCAGCAAAAGTCTTGATCACTCCTTTTTTAAAAAAATGTTAATCTCATAAATTTTTAGGGAATATTTCTCTCGATGAAATTTTTGAAAATATCATATGCTTTGACAACATTTATGTTTCTTGAACTTATAAAAATGTGGACTTATTAATTAATCAGACTTTAGAGGCATAAAAATGTCATGAAAGCAATTTACGAACAATTCTTACCCTTTTAGCTTACAGGAATGTTTTATAGATGTATCTGTATCCCCTGTGTAATAACAGTTATGTAATAGATGGTGTATTACCTATTATGTAACTCATGAGGTTAAATTTGAAATAAGTATCTAATTCACAGACTGATGCATGATGCAGTTCATCAAGGGACCCTGATAACTGCATATACTTTCCCAGGTGCTTCCCTGGCTTCAGGAACTTAGGAGGGAAGGGCGAGTCCATTGATTGCTTCAGGTTGAATGTACATTCACTTTATATAGTATTGATATCACACCAGCTCCTTGTGACAACTGCTCACCCATCCCAACTCCACCATTCTGCATTTATTTAGGCTTAAAAGGTAAAGGTGGGGCCAGTGTGAGCCAGTGGCGCCACTTTGAGTTTGAAACCTTTTCCTGAGGACTCAGCACAGCAAACCGAAACTCTCCAGAATTCAGAAGCCTGTGGAAAGTCTTTTGTCACGTTAAATACCATCCACCAGGGACACAAAGACGTATAGTGTGCTCTGGAAAAAAAGAAAGTGTTGAGACGCCTGGGTGGCTCAGATGGTTAAGCGTCTGCCTTCGGCTCAGGTCATGATCCCAGAGTCCTGGGATCGAGTCCTGCATCGGGCTCCCTGCTAGGCGGGGAGCCTGCTTCTCCCTCTGCCGCTGCCTCTCTCTATCTCTCTCTGACTCTCATGAATAAATAAAACAAACAAACAAACAAACAAACAAACAAATTAAAAAAAAAAAGAAAGTGTTAAGATAAATGAATACGTGTCCCAAATTTATGCATTGGAGTTAGCTGACAATAAAGGTCAAACGGGAAGAAAGAGTAATGGAACAGCACAGTAATGATTTGTGACCTTTCTGCCAAAGATCTTTGCCTGTTTTTTGAGTTTGTTCTTTTACTTCCTTCCCACTAATTATTTAATACAGTGCTTGGAGCACTGGCTCTGGAGTCCAAGCGCTTGGGTGAGAATAGAGTTGCTGTTACTCACTATGCCCCATGGGACAAGTCATTTTATCTGTTCTTCAGGCCCCTCATCTGTATAATGGGTCTATGACTACCAATCTAGAGTGGAGTTGTGAAGGTTAAGTGAAATAATGCATGTGAAGCATGGACAAGCACGGAGTGCCCAGTAAATTATTGTTATTATTCAGTATATTGAATTAATAGACTGAGACTGATTCCCCAGAAAATTATCCTAGGATAGATAGCCCTCACATATCTCAGCTTCTCCCACACACTTCTCTTCCACTCTCATGTGTTGGGGGTAAGGGAAACCCATTTTTAAAGTCTACTCTACAGTTGGGGCTATTACAATATGTTCTCAACCATTGCCCCAGAGTAGCTAAATGTGGTATTCCAAGGACAAACAGCAAAAATGAATTAATCTTTCTTTCCTGAAGCCTTTTTAACCCTATCTAAGATCTCATTTTCAAAATATCTATTACCCAACTACATTTCAGGAAGATTCTTTTAGTCTATGAATTTCTAACTAGCCAAAATATATTTCCCCCACTCTTAGCTGAGTAAAGCTGATTTATCCATGGGGAAAAGATCAGAATTCTGTTCTGAAAATTGTTCTCTTGGGCTATTAAGCTGTATCCAATTTCCAGGGTGCCTGATGCCTTCATCTTTAGGGTTGAAGGATTCCATTTTGCTTCATCCATCAACCACAAAATAGTCAACCTCGTCTTTATTGCAAAGCCACGTTTCTAATGATAATGAAAGCAACTCAGGCTGCTAGGTTGAGTCAGCAATTTAAAAATAAGAATTCTTTGACCAATGAACACAATCAAATTTGAAGAGCAACCAATAAAGAGAAGGACAGAAATGAAACCTTCAAAGTTTTACTATTTTATGTTTCTGAATGAAATGGATTTTTATGTCTTTTAACAAATACCTCATCTAATCACCACATAACTTTTTTCCTGTGAGAAATTTCTCCCCTGGTTCTATATGCATAGTTTGTTTTAATTAGCTCATAATAACTATTATTGATGCTAATAATCATTTAAATGTCAATACTTAATATATGTATTAAAATAGAGAATTTAAAAGGACAGTAATCTATTTTTAGCAGTCAATTGCAAATTAACCTTGACGTGGTGGAGTAGAGTGATTTAATATTTATTATTTCCTATGTAGCAATGTTTTATAAATGTCCCTGCAACTTCAACATAGCTTTTTCCCTAAGGCATTTTTAATACTTTTGTTGTAGTGCCACAAATTCTATTCTTAGAATTATATAGATTTATCATAAGTATTAATTCCAGCTTTTTAAACTTTGCATCACGTATTTCTGTCTCATCTACCCCAAATGCCACTATCAAGAATCAATCTAAGATGCCTCCTCTCATCCTCCCATCGGGTAGCAAGTTCTCATTCCTCTGAACTCCATAAAGTTGTATCCATCCTCCTCATTGCATCTGGTTTTCATATTTGACCTTTATTGAATTTATGCATCATCTGTCTTGTTTTCCAGAAAAGTACTGTAACTTTCTCCCATGTTGTCTAGTTATTTATGTCTGCCTCATCGCCCCCATAGCTTCATAAGGATAGAATTGGTGTCTGAGTTAACTTGGAAACCTCTAGAGCCCTCGGCGGGGTATCTGGCACAGAATAAGCATTCAACATATGTTTGTGGAATTAATGAATGGATGAATAGGTGTGCAATAAGTGTGTATCAAGTGAAAACATTTCTGCCATTATTACACTAAGCTGGGCTGGAATTGTTGGCTTTGAGACAATTTTTAGAAGAAAGAGTATAGTCAGGGGGTGTCCTTGCTAATTAATTTCTCTTCTATGTAACATCATGTACCAGGTAGGGCAGCACTTAAAATTTATTTCCACAACTTACTGAAAAGTTTATAAACAAAATCTGCCCATGAGTAATATATATTTTGTCTGCTGAAAACCAACTGTCAGTTTAGATGATTGTGGTTTTTTTACTGAATTGCCTGGTTTGGGGAGATTACATCAACATGATTTCAGTGATAGAGCCTGTGTTGGAGGGGAGGAAATAGGCCAAGTATTCCCTTGTCTTGGTCACATGCTACTCTGGACACAGTGGAAAGAGAATTGGTTTTAGACTCAAACAGACATACTTTCAAATGCTAGCTTTGCCACCTACGAGCTCGTGACCTTGGGCAGTTTATTATTCACTCTTTAAGTCCTAAAGTAATACATATCACGCTTAAGTTCTTATAGGGATTAGACACGTGTGGAATATTATCTGGTACACAGTAGGACTCAATATATTCTAGTTCTTGTTATTAAATTTCCAGAGTGATTTAACTCAACTACATACCACAGTCTAGTCTACAATCTTAGTCTAATGCATGATCTACAAAATGGGATAAGGTACATACAAAGTTTATTATAGTGCATAGTATTTGGTAATCTCTCAATACATATCAGAAATTGTTGTTGAAAATTATTGCCTCAGGGGGGAAATACAGTAATATTCAGCAAACCTGGTCTAGTTATCCTGAAGATCAACCCACTTCCATCAGATAGTTCCAAGTCCTCCTACTATATGTTATATATGCCCCAGTTCTCTCTCATGGCATTTATCTCACTTGTAATGAAATAATCATTACATAGTGCAATAATAGCTATCTCCCTAATAGCGTATACACTCAATGATGGCAGGGCCTGTATCTGTCTTGCTCACTGCTAAATCCTGATCGCTTAACACAGTGCCTAGTCACTCAGTAAATATTTGTTGAATGAGTGAGTGATGAATGCATGAGTCAGTAAGTCATTGAATATTATTATACACATGACTAGTGTTGTGCTGACATGTAAATAAGTACTGAAAGAATGAACTTGCAGCTGAGTTGTCAATAGCATTCATTATAATAAAAGTTTCTAAAGAAAACTGCTTACTTCCTTATGGTTAGTTACCCATTATAAAAAATGTTATTTAATGATAACATCAGCAGAAGAACAGGCTGCCTATGTAAAGTCTTTTATTGTTGGTCTTGCTTTTCAAGCCAAAACTACTAGGCACAAAGTAGGCACTCAAAATAGCTCTTTGAATGGAAAATTCTAATCATGCTCTTGACATTGTCATCACTTCCCTGACTTGCCATTGTTAGGGAACAAACAAAATTATCAGGGGGAAAAAAAAACCATACAGCTCTTTAAAACTCAAAGATGTTTTCTGTGTTATTTATTTCTTCTCTTTTATTGGTTATAAACACATCTCAAGCCTCATTTTTTTTAAAAAAGGATTTGTGTATACGCAATAAAAAAAATGGAACAAAAACTAATGTCCTTGGAAATAAATTGTAAGATAGAATAATTATAGCAAGTATTTGTTTTTATGAAGTATCTTTGAATTCTTGACAGCCTTTTAGTCTTTATCAGTGAAAAAAGAACGAGCTATACTCTTAATTTATCTTCCTCAATCACCCTGAGGGCAAAATGTCTTTTTTTGACTATGCTGTCCAATAGCTAAAGACAAATGTAGTTAATTAGCTCTTTCACATGGCTCATCAAAGAGCTTAACGGTGAATTAACAGTTTGGGAAGGAAGTAAAGCCACATAGAGCGAGGATACATAGTCCAAGCTGATTAATTAAACTCTGACAACACATTACATCCACCTTTGTGCTCCTCCGTCATCCTTTCCCCTGCCTCTCTTGCCTTAAATAACCACTGTCCTGGATATTTGGCTTATTAGTTCCTTGCTTTTCTTCTAACTGTACTTCTGCCACGTACATATGAATTCCTAAAAATATACTATTTTGTTTTGAATATGTTTACATTTACACAATGGATTCATGCTGTAATCTTCTGGGACTGATCTTTTTTACTCAGTATTGCTTGGAGTCATCCATATTATCCTATGTAGTTCTAATTCATATGTTTCACACTATATACTATTCCAATTATGTAATATTCCACAATTTATTTACCCATTCTCTTGTCAAAGAACATTTGGGTTGTTCCCAAATTTTTACTATTATGAACAGTGCCTCTAAGAACATTCTGGTACATATCTCCTGGTGTGGTTGTAGAGGAGCTCTTTAGAAATGTACTTAAAATTATTGGTCTTAGAGCATATGAATGTTCAACTACACAAAATAATAGCAAACTATTTTGGAGCACCTGGGTGGCTCAGATGGTTCAATGTCTGCCTTCAGGTCAGATCATGATCCCAGGTTCCTGGGATCGAGCCCTGCGTCGGGCTCCTTGCTCAGCGGACAGCCTGCTTCTCCCTCTCCCTGCTCTTCCCCCTGCTTGTGCTCTCTCTCTCCCTCTCTCTCTCTGTCAAATAAATAATTAAAATCTTTTAAAAAATAACAAATTATTTTCCACAGTGGTTATATTAATTTGTATTCGCAGAAGCAACATATAAGTGATCTTATGACCTACATCTTAAGACCTACATCTTCTCCAACGCTTGGTCTTACCAGACTCTTTTTTGGGGGGGGCGGGAACAAGTTTTTGTGGATGTTTTAATTCTCATGCTATACTGTATGTTCACATGGTCTCATTATTAAAAAACTGACAAAAGTATTGCTGGAATTTCATCTTCATTTCTTCATGTTGGATGAAATTCCAGCAATAAGAAATGAACAAAAGATTGGAGCTGAAGACCTTAAGTGCTTGCTTTTTGCCCATTGACCAGAAAAGTAGAACTATCTGCATTATCTATGCAGCATGGGATTTTTGTTATTTTTACCTAAAGACTTCTCTTTTTGGTAATGACAAACGTGTTTAAAAAAAAAAAATGCCTGGTTTTTCTCAATACACCTTTAAAGGTTTTTAAATTGTTTCATATCTGGTCAAGTTGAGATTTTTAAGAACCTCATTTTTAATTTGTAATAAAAGTTTACAACCTGATCTTTTTCAGAAAAGTCAACCAATGGCAAGCACCCGTTAATAAAGGTCTTAAATAATAATAATTTTAAAAAACTGACAAAAGTAAAAGAGGGTGATGCATGACCAATGACTAGAGAATGTCATAAACCAGAGGTTATATTTAATCCAATTTTGTGTGTTGAAGGTTCAGAGGAGGGGTTCTAGGAGAGGTGCGTAGGGAATCCTAGTCCTGGTAAAGTCTTCAAAGGTATCATCTCAAAATTATCTTGGGATGCAGTGTGCCACTGGAACACAATGCATAGCCCATTTCTCTCCTTTCCAGATTCATCTCTTCTGCTCAGAGAGGCAGCAGATGCATAGTCATCATACCTTGGACCTCTCTGAGTCCTTTGAAGGAAAGATGCTGAAAGCTTACCCTACCCTTGGTACCAGAGCTGATGACAATATCACACAAGTGTGTGACGCCCCTTAGGCTCCTCTCAGACGAAAAGCTGATCTGAGATTATATTTTCTTCTAGGGTATGGTATTGGTCTCCCACCCAACTCTCCACTGACCTCCAATATATCCGAGCTCATCAGTCAGTACAAGTCACATGGGTTTATGGATGTGTTGCATGACAAGTGGTACAAGGTGGTTCCCTGTGGGAAGAGAAGCTTTGCTGTCACTGAGGTAAGGAAAAAGTACGGATCATGTTGATGCTTTGTATGGCTTTACCTTGAAGACTATGAAGAAATCCGGTTACATGTGTCCTGTGGTCAATAAACCAGGCTATTACATCTACTAGAACTCACCATGATATTTGCATTACTCCTAACTTCACTTGAAGAGTGCCCATTCCGGTCGGAATTTTCAATAAGACAAGTTCGTCTTCGATTAAAATGTAATGTTATTTTGATGAATGAATGTCTGAATTTCCACTCTTTTTCTGTATGTTGTATCCACAAGCGCAGAAGAAACGCTGTTCGAAATACAGCAATAGTATCTGAGATTGTCATTAATAGTGTTTGGTTTAACTGTTAATTGCTGGACAGGATGTGGACTTCAGAATATCTTTCAAGATCTAATCAAAGCTAATTTCCCAGTGGTCCAACCATGAATCCTTTGTGGGTTTAGAAAAATAGACACACCTTATGGGTAATTCTTAGATTACTGGATCATAGATTTTTTAAACTGAAAACAACCAATACCGTTCTTTTACAGATGAGAAGCTAATACCTAGAGAGCCTAAGTGATTTGCCCAAGGCACACAAATAGTCAGAATCTACATCTTTCTATTGCAGTGCTCTGCCTCTACAATGTAATTAGAAAGAAACCATCAAAGTAGATAATTGAGATAGGAGACTAAAAGATATAACAAGAACCATAGGTTCAGGTATTTAAGAGAGAAGCCAAATAAACTAGTAAAGGTCAGCCAGACATTAAAACAAACAAACAAACAAAACACACCACAGCCAACAACAATAATGACTTCAGATATCCTCTATTTTGGCAAATTTGTATTTCTACACAGACGCTTCTGAGCTCCGGAACCATATGCCTATCTTCCCGTTTGACATCCCCACTTGAATATCCTACAGGCGTCTCACATTTAACTTGTCAAAAACTGAACCTTTGATCTACTCTCCTAAAACTGCTTTTCCTCCTGTGCTTCACATCTTAGGCAATGATGCCTCCGTCCATTCAGTTACTCATTCCAGAAACTGCCAAGGATCCTTCATGCCTCCCACATCTCACCTTCTGCATCCATCAACAAGCCATACTTTTCCCTTCTATAAAATATGTCTCAAGTATGCCCGTTTATCGCCATCTTCACTGTCATCGCTCTAGTTCAAGCCCTCATCCCTCATCTGGACCACTGCAAAAGTCTCCTAACTGCTCTCTGTTTTCATGCCTGCCTTTCTCCAGTTTGTTTTCCACGCGGCAGATCACTCTTTTGCTTAGAAGTCTGCAGTGGGCTGCCATGTGAATTAGGGAACAATCTGAAATGCAGAACATGGCCTACAGTGCCCTGTGGGACTTGAGCCTGCCTACATCTTCAGTCTCATCTCATGCCACGTTCCTCCTGACTCACTACAGCCCCACCACCATGGTCATTTAATTTATTTTTTAAAAGATGTATGTATTTATTTATTTGAGAGAGAGAAAGAGAGAGTGCATGCAAGTGGAGGGAGGGGCAGGGGAAGAGGCTCTCAAGCAGACTCCACACTGAGCCCAGAGCCTGACGCGCGGCTTGATCTCATGACCCGGAGATCATGACTGGAGCCAAAACCAAGAGTAGGGTGCTCAACCAACTGAGCCACCCAGGAGTCCCCACAGTGGTCATTTTAGATAGAGACATGCCAGTGGCTTCCGTCTTGACATCTTGGCACATGCTGTTACATCCTTCTTCCCAAATACTCTTACCCCTGCCATTTACCAGCAAATGCCTCTCATTATAAACTCCCAGCTGAAATCTCACTTCTCCAGAGCCTGCCCATAATCCCTGTTCCAATCTGAATCATATCTTCCATCTCATTGAGAAGATAGTCATAGAGCAAAGATTTAAAGGAAGCAAAGAGGAAAATGGGGAATTAGGGAACTAGCCTGTTCTGTTTCTTACCATGTGGCAAAAGCTGTATTGGGGAAATTAACTCGTTGGTTCCTTCTACAGCCCTGTTAGGCAGACATTTTTATCTGTATTTGGAGAGGTTTGCATGGCTTTTTCTAAAAGAAGTAAAATTGGTCTTATACTGGTCAGCTGAATTAAGTCAGCCAAGAAAGCAAACAAACCAGTTGCTTCAGTTGTACAAAGCAACAATCACTTGGTGTTTTCTACCATTCGCTGTGACCATGGCTAACTCATGCCAAAATCTCCAAGTGATTCAAAGTCGACAGCAAGACGTTAGACATGACAAAAGGAGCTTCGCAGACATGTCCCCAGAGCCAGCCATATGGAATGATTTGCACCTCCTGGATCACACGCACACCTCTAGGCTGTTGTCATTTCAGAGGACCATCAGACGGGTATCAGCTGGAGGGACCATCTGACTCCACTGGACAAGCCTTTGAGGGTGCAGGGTTCTGCAGACTCAGAGAACCTAACTCCACTGGGCACATAGAGGGGAATGTCCTTTTGGAGACTAACATAAATCTATTTATTCGAGTATGAAAAGAGCTACTACAAAGCATGATAAATGTGAAGCCATACATTTCTGAACTTGTATCCTGAATCTACCAATTAACCACTGAATGACTTAACTGCTATTAGGTCTGAGTTTCCTCATCCATGAATGAATATGATAAAACCTGTCTTGCTATTTTGTTCTGAGAAGAGGAGATCATTTTGGGAAAGACCTAATAAGAAAACTGACACAGTAAGTAGTAAATAATGGAAGTGTTCATAGCTCCTCTCCCTCCATCAGAATTGCCTGAGGTTCATAGATATCTTCAGCTATCTTCCTGCAGCTCTTTTTAGAAGTGAGGAAACCTTCCCCCAAGGACCCTTAGTGGATTTCCTCATGTGTCATTGGCCAAAATGGTGTCATCTGCCCTGCATAATCCAATCAATGTGAGGGGAATGAGATCATCATGATAGATTAGACCAGTCATGACTCATCCCCTTGGACTGAAGATGGGCCAGCTTCCCTTGAAATGCATGATCACATAGAGAAGACCTAAACAAAAGCAGGATTCCCTTAGGAAGAAAGAGATGGGAGAATGGATGCTGAATAAGCAATCACCCACCTCTTCTACACCCACTCAATCGATGGAAAAAGTTGCTTCCTCTCATCCCACCCACTTCCATTCATCTATACAATCAGGTATTTGGATTTTATCATCTGCAAGAGCCCTCCCAGCTTTGATCCAGTGATGATGGTTTCCCTTTATATTATCCTGAGAGAAGAGTATTGATATTCTTTACAGTATAGCATCATGGTTGAAAACAGGGGCTTTGGAGACAGTTCTGGATTTGAACCCTTTAAGCTCTGTGTTATGTTACTTGGCCATTCTGAGCCTCATCTTCTGCAAATTGGGGGACTTTATAGGATTGAGGTAAAAATTAAGTCAGATAATGCTTGTAAAATATTGAGCTTATGCCCAAATATGCTAACCACAAGGTCACTTACGTTAAGGATTTTGAAGTTTCACCATAAATGTTCCAGGACTGTGTGGACTTATCAGTAATCTCAAACAAAACCAAATTAAGTGTGGACAAATAAGAAGACAGATTTTGAATAACAATCAGCAGAAGCCAAACTCAAGGGAGGGGGATTTGGGGAAGTCTGGATGTAGTGAGCCAGGAGGAGTTGGATAAGAGACTGACATCAGGATCAAGTTATGGTTGTTAAGACAGCCCTGGGCCCACAGATCAGCTGAATTTGGAAGGGGAGAGAGGTAGGAGTGAAGAGAGTGGGAGATGTATATTCTTAATTAGAACCTCAGGGACCGAAATGAAAGAAGATTCTGTGTGTGTGGTGGTAAGAGAGCCACCCCGAGCCTCAGGGAATGTTCTGAACACACATGGAGCTATTCGTTCTGAAGAACGGTGCTCTGCACTATGGCAGCTCCTGGTTTATGCAATAACTACTCTATGATGAGACGCAGGTATGTCCTGGAGGGCACCTCTCCCAGCAGGGGCTCTTGAGGAAGATGTTCCTCTGTTTATTTCTGACCTGACCTCCCATTTCCCAGATCAAGTCCCAGCCTATATATGTTGCCACAGAGTAATTGAACACCCTTGCCCTCCGAAAAAATATCCTAGTTTGGCTAATGAGTAATCTGGTCACCTAGTAACACGACATGAAAGATGGTTTTTCTTCCTATTTCTGGTAATTGGACATTAGTACTTTGTCCCCTGTGAGAACCTTGATTTATTCACCTCCCATCTCTTGGCAACCCCAGAGCTGTCTAGCTGCAGTCTCTCTGGAAGATAAACTCATGTTTTTTAATTCCAGAGCTTTATCCGGTCCCCAGAGTTGCCTAGAAAATTGCAGGTCCAGTTCTGCCGGCCAGACTTCAGCAATTCTCAGAGGAATTTTAAATCGACCTCAGATGTTTCTCCATGGTCCTCCTAGCACAACTCTGCCTGTGCCCACGGCAGACTCATTGGCACTCAGTTCCACTGGGGAAAACATATGGCAGACTTTAAGTTCCTCCATTTTCTTTTGATTCAGGGAAAAAAAAAAAATGTCATTTTTTGGTAAAGTCACGGAGTGAATTTAGAGTTCCAGAGCAACCGTTTTGTGAAATCTGTTATTTGCAAACCAGGAAAAGGAAGGTGGCAGATTACAGCTTAGCAAACTCCCAAGATTCTTCAAGAAATTAAGATCTATGATGATACCTTTTTTTTGAAAGTCTCTTTTAAATAATGGATCAAGTAAATAATTGGTTGAAACTTTCAACCAACTGCAAATAGCAAAGAAGGAGAGGAAATAGTGGTCTTGGCAGAGAATGGATAGCACACTCAAAGAGTCCGAGGAATTTCCAAGAAACCATTTGCAAAGGTATGGTTTAAGGAAACCAACAGAAAGAGTACATTCTCCCAGGGCAAGTAAAGTGGAAGAGCAATTACCACATCAGGCTCAAAGGAAAAAACGGAGAGAGCCATTCCTAGAACCCGGGGGGAGGGGATAGCAGAGGGCTTTCTAACAGGAGCTGTAGTCTGACGAGGAACAAAGCCAACCTGCAGT